CTTGTACTACGACCCTTTTATGTGGTGTCTTGCATGTAACTTGAATTTGAGATTGATCTTTGAATTGATGCTTCACTGCTGGAGTTGGAAGCACTGCAGTACTCAGTGGATATGAGGTTGTAGGAGAATTCTAAGGCAGCTGTATTGTAGCCAGATTGCAGTCTGATTGTTTATATACAATAACTGAATATAAATGTACTATAAATACTTCATCGCTTGTATCAGTCTAGTAGGCTGATATTATTCTTGGTCGAGACATGAGAATTCTTGAATATAGCAAGGTTAACAGGTCAAAAATATTTCAAGCCTTCCTACTCTAGCTGCCATTTAATATTTATCTGTCTTCCAACTTAGTGTAAGGTACTTACTGCAAATAAGTGACCGATCACTACAGCAAAGCCAATGGCCAAGCCACACGAGCCCCGTAGCTCTGTACGTTTGGGATCACAGGTGGCAAAGACAGTGAAGACCAGTTCAAATGTGATAAGGAGCTCCACAAGAAAAGCGTGTCCTACTGAGATGTCGGCATGGACCTTGGAAAGAGAAGATTTTCCTTATAAGTGGTGGGAAACCCTATCATACACACAAACACAAATGAATATGGTCAGATTGTTACCATGGTCACACCGAGGGTCCCTCTAACAGGAGTAGGTGTGACTAGACAGAGAATCCCAGCTCCACTAACAGCTCCCAGGCACTGAGCCACCACATAGAATAATGCCTTTGCTAGGCTTAACTTTCCAGTTACAACCATTGCTGCGGTGACAGCCGGGTTAATGTGTCCACCACTGATGTGGCCAAAACACTGCACCATTGTGGCAATACTCAGGCCAAAGCACATTGAGATAAGGATTACATCAGCTGGGGGAGGCTTCTCCCCCTCTCCTGCAGGCCAGTTGATTGTGGAGCCCAGACTGAGAAGGACAAAGATGAGAGTGGCCAAGTATTCTCCAGATACGGCCCTCCAGAACTCCTTGGTCCAGATTCCTCTGCATGCCACCATTATGCTTTGACAGTTACACCAGGACAGGCACCTCCTGGCAAAAAGAATAATGACCAAAATGAATAGCCTACTTATGTATTCCTAGTGTGTATATGTGGCTGAAAATGTACTGAATCCTATCAGGGTGGCTGCCTCTGGGCACAACATTTGTAACTCCACTAGGGTTTTAAGCCAGTGACTTTCAATGACAAAATACCATACCATAAAGAGAATTCTTTAAACACTGTGCTTAGGGACTAATAATTACACCTAAAGTTTAATTGCTGTCATTCACTGAACTTTAACCTGAATGAAGAAAGAAATGTGCTTTTTTGGCTATTAATGGAAAGGAGAGCACCATTTATATTAATTAAAACATCTGTAAATGTTATGCATTTAAAAAAAAATGGAATTGAATATGATTACATTTTGTTCAGCATACCTCCAAGGCAACAGCAACGCAGTAATAATTTGTCATTTTTTTCTCATACAAAACTTACCTAAAGTGATAACAAGCTCTCCCTCTCTCTGCCCTCATTGTGGGTGATGTGTTTTCTGTCGTTAGTCCCACTGAGTATTCAAACAGTATCGACCATCTCTCCCTTCAACACATCTAAAAATCTGAAATGGCAGTGACTTGCAGTACTTACTGAACAGCAGCAGGCTGTGTGATTGCAGTAGCGGAGCAGAGAACAGTTTTGTCTGTCGAACATGATCCACACATTGTGCCCCGGGATTGCATCCAGCAGCTTTATTAGGTGACTAACCCTGGCATCACCTCACGGAAATTAAACAGTGTAATCAAAGGAGGGAGGAGTCATGAGATTTGCTTGCTGTGCGCACAAACTGCAACCATAGAGTGGCTCATTCAGTCTCAGCATCTTGGTTATATCTTTGAAAACATGCTGGAGTAAGCACAATGTTTACAAAGCTACTGGTATTTGGAAGACTGCAGAAACTATACGTTAAATAACAATTTTATAACTTAAATGTCAAAGTTTTATGTACTTTACCTGAGTGCTTCCATTTTAGGGTACTTTTACTTACGTTCTCCCAAAGCAACAAGAAGGTCAAAGAGCAAAGTGAAGGTAATTTGTAGATAACATGAAGCCCAGCGTATTTATTATTAAAATCAAAAAGAAAAAAATACACATATTTTATCAACATATCTAAGTAGACTAATGTTGTAATAATAATTAATTGAATTTCAACATGCAAAGGTGTTGCAAGGATATCACACTGCAAACACCTGCACATCAGAGTAATATGATGCGTCACACGATACCCAAAGTTAGCGAGCTATTTTAATCACATAAAGAAGATATTTTGCATCCTCAGCTTAGATGTAAGAACATATCGGTGTAGAAGTGAAGGATATACTGTCGTCACTAGTCACACTCTTCAGTAATGCCAACTTGTATCCCCTTGCATGTCCAGTGAAAAACAAGAGCAGAGTTTTGATAGCAGGAGGATCTCTGTTTTTACTTCCCTACAAAATAAATCCAGAATAATTTTCATTTACTGTAAAAGGCAACATAAAGTTTTGTGCAATTTTGCAATATGTTTCACACTAATCAGAAAATGTTCTCTGCAATTTTCCCCCCAGTTTTCTTTTTCCAGTTAAGGAAAACAAAAACATCCTGGATAAAATAGCAAATAGTAGAACCTCGCATTAACCAGACAACTAGATACAATCTGAACCATGTGCATAATTTGGTAATTATTCATGCAGTACAGTTTTATTTACAATGGTAAATATAGCCACTAGGCCTACTCATTTTACACTGAAATTTAAATCTGCTCGCTATACAAACCTGAATATTAATGAGCTACATAAATCATTATAAAACTGTTATTCAGTATCATGCGAAGTTCTTTTCCTGGATCCTGTTTCAATAGTTCCTCCAGGCAGCTCACACACATCAGAGAAGTCCCTTTTTATTAATTAAAAGCCTGCCTTAATTCTTCAAATTTGCATTTGTTTAAATTACAGTTGAGTCAATTAATGTCTGCTGATACTGTATGAGTTTGGTTTGATTAGAGAGCTGTCCTCCAGATTAGTGGAAGTGAAGTAATTTGTTAAAAGGGTATTCTTAATGTGCACTGATAAGTGGCACCACTCACCTTTTTTTTTTTTTGAAGAGTAAATTTGGGAACTTCACAAAAACGATTTCAAAATGTCTTTTTAAAAACATTGGCAGTAATGGGAAAACTGGCAAGGCTGCTGCTGAATAGCACCTTTTGAATTATGCTTTACAACACAATAAAACAGAGAGCAACATCAATCTGTCGCTATCCAGCTACATCAGTGCGCTTGTGTTTTTCTCATAAAAAATGCACAGACCATTGAGAATAAATGAAACTTTACTATGACAAATGTTCAAGTAACACAGTGGCAAGACGCATCCAGATTGTCAGTGGTACTTTTTTTTTTCAATCAGTCCCAGGTATAACCCAGGGGATTTACCAAAGGCAGCAACAGCTCACTGTCTCTGGCAACAAAGATGTTTTCCTTGTTGAGTAATACTGCTGTGCTCTATTAGACACAAGCTACCGCCTTTGTCAGTGCTGCACAATGCCAAGTTTTTTATATGCCACAGTGAAGAGAATCTCAACACTGTTATATAATTTGTAAGCTTGACAGTCATTCAAATCAGTGGCCTCTTCTTGAAAGACTTGTTAAAGGGTTGAATCTTACTTTTTTATTGCTGTACCAACTGGAGGTCACTTTAAAATTTCATTGTATGTTACAATGACAGTAAAGGATTATCTTATATTATCTTATCTTAAGTAAATGAAGCAAATGGGAACAATCTGCTTCTGAAAGCTCACTTGACTTTTGCTACAGAAGGAGAAACATACCACTAACTGCGCGATCTGATAATAATATAACCCATGCATGAGGGTGGCGCTGATAGAGTGTATCCAACATGCATGCAACCAGAATGGTTTTTCAGAAATCATTTCTCTCCTACAAGGCAGAATAGAAAACCAGTGGTAAAACACTAATAAGTGCCTGGCATCTGCTGTCTTCTTCTTCTCTTTTTCTATCCAGTTCACCGCCTTTTCTTTTACCTCCACTGGAATATGTTAAACCTATCCGCCAGCAGAAAAGCATAACAAATGTCCATATCTTGACACTAATCACTTAAAACATGACAGCTAATGTGTAAATGAGAAAGGATGAGGACAGCTCTTCAGTGTCACTTGGCCCAGTTTAATGACAAACAAAGTTGGACAGATAAAATCTGACAGCAGACCTGATACTTCACTCATTCTGCCAATCTAAATAAATGACTAATAGCAAAAGGCCAATATATGAAGTTTTGTACATATTCCCAACAAAACATAAAGCACATGCATTTTAAACTGCTGTAAGCAGTGCCATTCCTTCTGCTGTTTGCATTTACAATAAAAATCAATCTGAGCAAAACCACAGGGCGGCCTACCTGCCTGTCATCCTAACTTTCTACCTGTGTGCACTCTGCCCTTACACCACAAGCCAAGAGAAGGCCGGGCAGGCAGACGTGTAACCCCTCTGTTTTATAGCTAAAGCTAGTGAGCTATGGCAGAGAAAGTATCCACAGTGGCTTTCTGTCACAACCGAAAGGTGTATTTGAGAAAGTTACAACTAAAAAGAAGTTGGATGCTGCAAGAAGTAAAACCAGAATTAACACTGGTGTGGCTTTTAAACAATAGTCACAACTGAGAGAACAAAAGGGGCTGAAAAGTGACGCTATGGTAGCTGTGTTTCTGCTAGACAGACAATGATCAGTTGTGTTTTGTTATTTTTCTGAAATCTGTAAGTGATAGTCAGGCAGCGCACGTTGCAGTGTGCTTTGTGTTTTGGAGGGGTGACTTTGGAGAGAAGTCAGAACAAAGGGGTGGGATTTCTCTGCTTGGCTGCTTCCAAAATCGAACTTCCTCTTGCAGATTTTTCCAGGAACACCAACTGTACCTTTAAATATCACCATGGCAAACAGGTTCTCTTTTTATCACACTCACACACACACACTTTCACACTGAGTTGCATATATTACAAAATGTGACAAACATGCACAGTGGTACTGTGAGTTTATGTTTCCCTGTCAGACAAATGTTCACTGCAGAGTTATTTAAACTGAAGGATGTACTGTCTACTTCAGTATGTTGTCTCTTCCAATCCACTTGTGAACTGAGAATGTCATTTGGCCTCTGCTCTTCCTGGAAAAAAATCAGACATGCTGCTGTTGTCTCAGTTTGTGATCTATGGGCCAGTAAGCACAGATCATAAATATCTTGCTTTCACAGCAACTAAGCTGTGGAGTGATTTTGTCAAGTCTTTCTCTATTTTGATTTCAGCAGGGGACAAGCACATTAGAGGAGAACAAATTATTCTGTGGTGTACTAGTGTGAGTAAACACTCATACTGTTGTTCTTCACTGGAGCTGTACACAGAGATACAAAAACCAAGGTCTGAACTTTCGACATGTTTTTCTTTTCTATAGTTCTTCATGAAAATGTGCTGTAAATCAATAAATGCCTATGGGATAGCCAAATGCTTTATTTACATGATCGGTTTGCTGGTGTGTCAAACAGGGTCAGAGGTTAAGAACTAATAGTCAGTGAGACTGCTGACTAATTAAAATGCTTTCTGTTTGTTAGACCATGTCAGCACACAGATCAAGCTCTGAGTGAACACAGCTACGCAGTCTAAGCCTTTTTTGCAAGGCAGCCTCAAGGCCATCCACATTTTGGGGTCCATGTTAAATACAGAGAAAATAAAAGAGCACTTTGTAGCTTTTGTGTGGGGATTTAAATTATTAATTAATAATGGTTGGATGGGTGTTCACATCAAGTAAAAAATTTGAAAAGTGCAAGGTAGGGCTTTTAGCATGCTGTGTATGCCTGCCCTGTCTTTAGATTAGGGTGGGTTTTCACCCATCTCAAGTAAACAGCACTGCTGGCTTTCAACCCATGTTCATCATCAGGTTCACAATTCGTAAGCTTCATAGTTAAACTTTTGGGTACTACTTGACAGCCTGTAAAAAAAAAAAACCAACCAAACAAAAAAATGTTATTTGTATTCCATTATGTCAGAGACATGCTGTTGCATTTGTCACATGTACAGTGGGTAGAATTAGATATCATAAAACGACACCTAAAAAGCTGGTGATCATAGCTTCAAACTTGGACAAATAAATGATTTAGATAAAACGTCTGAATGTTGTTACTGGTGTTGGGTTGCTGTACTTGTCAAGCAATGTTAAAGGAAAACAGCAGTGCGCACAAGCTCCTAAAACACTTGTGTATGCGTCATTTTGACACATGTAGACAGAATGAACACAGTCTTTCTCATTACCAAGCCTTCATAGAGACAAGCTGTCAAGTTGAAACCCACAGGAGCCAACAGCAGATGCTGCAAACCATCAGCCTCAACTCCCAAAGTGAAGGAAATAGGATGCCTGCTAGCATCAGCATTAGAGGGAAAAGAAAATATTTACAGGGAAAGCATTCAAACTGAATTTTTGATGATAAACCAACTCTTCTACAAGGTGTTAGTCCGTTGGGTTCAGTTTCGGTTTACAGTCTGCTGTCAGTGCTGCCAGTGGAGAGATCTAACTACCTCACTAATATGGCTGAACTCAGCAGAACATATCTGGATGTCTCAATAGCACAGCCATCAGTTTGCATAGCCACTATTCATAATAATACTAAACTTACTGTAAAATTTTAAGTGTGAGAAC